TCCACCACTCCTTCTCCTGGTGCTTTCGTATCTCAGGTAGCAAGTTTGCTGATGGAGTGCCCCCGTCCCATATCCACACACATGGCCCCTTTATTAAGTCCCATTTTGAGTCACTTTGAATGTGATGTCTGTTTGCTATTGGGATATGGATCTTTGCAAAGTTAGGAAATATAAAGAGGGTTTGCTTTATTAATGAAGTATGCACAAGGTCCACATCTGTTCAGTTAGTGCTATCATCTTCGCAGAAGTCTATGAAATGTTATAGGAAGCAGGGGTAGGAAAGAGGTTTCATATAGAAACCTAAACAGCTCAGGACCAAAGGAAAAGATGCCTACCTACAGCCCAGCCCAGCCCAGCTTGCCTATGTTGGGGGTCCACTGTTCTCTATCTTGTTCATTCAAAATCACTGTGAATGTTTTGGTGGATATTCCTTGATGATGGACGGATGGACAGACAGATGGATGGGAGGGGTGATGGGAGGGTACATGGCTGGGTGGCTGGGTGGCTGGGAAAGTGGTTGGGTGGATAGGTAGGTGGATGATTGATGGGAATATAGATGTATGGATGGATGGACATAGAATTTCTCTTTCTCTTTGTCTGTTTCATCACCCCATAGCGATAGCTTCATGGACCCGTCTAAACTGTTTCCCTCTTTTATTCAAGTTTCCTGCTATGGGCCAGGCCCTGTGTACTGTGCTAGGGTTTTGTCTCTCTCCTCCCCTGCTGTGTCTGAGCTTTAGGGAGATGACTACCTCGATGGGAAAATTTGGATTGGAGTTACTCCTTGAGTGGAACATTCCCCAGACTCCTTCCTTCCAGAGACTCAAATGTAAGGGACTTGAAGCCTTGTTTCCACTGAGATCAAGGGCAGGTGATAGACATTGTTGAACTTACACATTCCAAAGTCAAGCCTGAAATTTCACCTGGAAGCCTTTGACCTTGGTCCTCCTTCAGGTTTCTTGGCCTCCGTTCTCTGCAGCCATCTGGTATCCTAACTTCTCCAAGCAGCCGCATTTGATGTACTCCACTGTTCTCTCTCCGCTAGCACGTGCATCTGCCCCCTCTCACCACCCAACACCCTAGTGCTGGTGTTCCGCCTGTGCGCTCTAGCGTATGCCCTCTGTACGGAAATGGCTGCGTATGTTTTGACCATCCTACAGATGCAGTGTCTGGAACATACGTTGGATTCAGCTGCCACTTGCTTCATGTGTGAGAAGTGAATGCTGTCCGACTCTGAGCCCACTGAACAAGTCTCCAAGCCTCCTGAGGGCAGAGGCCTTTCTGCCTCAGCCCCCGAGGAGTGGGGAAGGGCGGGGGTAGGATGACACCAGTGTCTCTGGAGGAAGCACCATGAGTGATCAGGGAGCCCGGAGAGCAGAGTGAGCGTGGGCCCCAGGACCGTGGGGCCGTGGGGCGGGACACAGGGAAAGACAGGGCAGAGGACCAGGCAGCCACAGGATGCCTGAAATGAGGGGCAAGGCCGGGGAAGTCTGGCTATTGGGAGAGAACTATGAGACACTCAGAGCATTGAGTCTCTCAGTCTCAGCCAGAGCTCAATAAGAGGAAGGGGAAATACACTTATAAAACTCAGTGCATAGTCTACAAAATAAAGAAAATTGGGGAAGATATGGGATTGGGAGGAATGGGGGAGAATGATAGAAGAGGTGGTGCTGATCAAGATTTGTTGTATTTATAAACTGCGCTGTTGAATGGTAACTCCTTTGCACAACTAAAGATAAACATTTTAAACTATTTTTTTTGTCAATCATGGGTCTTGAACTCTGGGCCTGGATGCTGTCCCTCAGGTCTTCAGCTCAAGGCTAGTGCTCTACCACTTGAGCCACAGTATCACTTCTGTTTTTCTGGTGGTTAATTAGAGTCTGACAGACTTTCCTGCCCAGGCTGGCTTTGAACCATGATCCTCAGATCTCAGCCTCTGAGTAGTTAGGATTACAGGCATGTGCCACCGGCGACCAGCTAAAACTATTTTTAAAAAATATTCCACGTGTATCTGTCTGTGGCCATTCCATTTTGCATTGTGCTGGGAAGTTATCTCCTAAAATCGAGAGCAGAAGCCAGGGTGGTAGTGTGGGTAGCAGGGAGTGGAGCTGGAGGACCACAGGGACATTTGAAGATCTGCAAGGAGCTGGGAGCTGGAGAAGGGCTGGGACCTTCTGCTTCACCAACTTCTTAGGTTGAAACTCTTGGTCTTTTCAATGGCTGTATGTCTTGGCCATACATGCCCCCATTGACAAGTATTTGTCAAGTACCTACTCTGTGATTGGCTGGTGCCCAGTGGAGGAGGCATGGGGGCAGAAGTAGGTGAATTGCAAAACAGCTGCAGCTTTTGGAGACAATGTTATAGGATCATAATATGAATGAGGTTCCAGAAACCTGAGCTGACGATGAGTGGGAAAGTTCTGAAATTATGCATAACTGACTGAATTTTTTTCCATGCTGAGGGTGGCCAGCCCACCTGACCTCATTTCTCCTCATACCCTCCAGTTGTTCATCCACCAGAAGTGGCTCAGATGTGTGGCTTCAGTGGCTCAGATGTGTGGCTTCAGTGGCTCAAAGGAGAAAAATATCAGAAACTTATGTGGCAAACCCTGAAAATTAGGTTTAGCATAATGGTTATATGAATATTAAATATGGTCATATTCAATATGCATGAAGCTGCCTACAGAGTGTAATAATCCTGAGACAACACAAACACAGTGATTGCAAAGCCAGAAGCTCAGGAACCCAGGAGTTCAGGTTTGGGGAACAGAGAGACAATGCTCGGAAAATGCATATAATTTAAATAAGAGAGAAGAGAGGAAACAACTATTAAGCAACATGTACTTATCTGAAAATTAGGAATTAATTTAAACCTTCTTTAAACCTCAAGAAAGATTAAGCTCCTAACTGTGTGAACATTTTATTAAAGGAATAGCTTGAAATATTTGGGGCTTTGAGAGCCACATATGGTCTCTATTCCATGCTAATTTTTTTTAAAACAATATGTCTTGTTTGCATTGTTCACAGCACTTTGTGTAGAAACGATTTTGGTCTCATAGACCAAACAAGGTAGAACTTTGAGCTGGATGAGGCATTCCAGGATATATTTAAAATTTCTCAGGGATGGACATCTCATCACTTTCCAAGCTCATTTGATGGTTGAATTGTCCTAAAAGTCTTTGTCCCTCAGCATTCCTCCTGTAATTGCTATGAGGATCTGCTTCTGACCTTAGTAGAGTTGTCAAGCTCTCCTGCTCAGCAGCTTTGTGAGAGGTGAAGTACCCTGTCTTTAACAGAACCTCCTCCTCAAGGCCATCCAACCTGCCATGAAATTGCCTCCACACCCTTTACATTCAATTTCATGTTGCTGCCCATGCCCTTCGTAAAGTACAGCTTCCAGAATTAGCAGTTCCAAAGTTTTAATTTGAACACCAGAGACTCATTTGAACAGAATGCTGCCAGCAATACGGTGTGGTGGTTCATTTCTGTTGCAAACGTAACTGGTTTAATAATTACCTGGAGAATCGGCAGTGCTTACAGAGTCATGTTTGTGAGGGTTTCCCGAGGAGGCTGGGGTGGTAGTTGGAATGAGGGGAAGTTCCACCCTCAGTGTGGTGGGCATCATTTCATCAGATGGAGTCCTGCCAGAATCTAACTACACAAAAGGAAAATCTCCCTTCTCCTGGAGCTGGGATGTGTCAGAATCCAGGATCTCTGGCAGTTGGACTCCAGGACTTGTGATAATTCCATAGGCACATAGAATGTACTTTGAACAAGCTCACCATCTCTACTGCATTCCCTGAATCCCTCACACTCTTCTCCTGTTTTTATTTCCTGTAATTTGGTTGGATTATGCTAGCTTCATATCTATGATATATACAGGTATAGCTCATGTATACCCATATATATGGACATACATATGTATATATACTATCATTCAATATTCCTCATTCCTACCTACTACTGACTCCACTCCCCCTCCCCATCCTGTTTATCTTCCACTCAGAAAGTTCCTCATTTACACTCATGTTTTATTACTATCATCATCATCATCATCATCATCATCATCATTTTAGATTCCACATGTGAATGTAAACATGTGATATTTGGCTTTTTGAGCTTGGCTTATCTCATTCAACATGATGTCTCCAGTTCCATCCATTCCTGCAAAGGATATTAATTTCATTCTTCTTCATAGCTGAATAAGACTCCATGTTTTTACTATAAACAGTATGGTTACTGTGACCAATGCTGTGATAAACATGGAGATGTGGGTATTTCTTGTATGTAGATTGATATTCCTTCAGATATTTGCCCAAGAGTGGCAATGGACACAGGTAGGTTTTAGGTTTTGTTGAAGAACCTCCGAACAGATTTCCACAGTGGCTGTACTAACTTCTATTCTCACCAAGTGTATGAGGGCTCCTTTTACCCTGTATCTTCACAAGTATTTTTTGTGGTCGATTTTCTTAATGATCACCTTTTTGCTGGAAGTGAAATGGAATTTTTATAAACAAGATTTTTAAGTCACTGGGGACCTAAAATCTGAATGCATCTGGAAACATACTAGATGTACCTCAAGAGTCCAGAAAGGCATTTTCCTCATGGATAAAGACTGTCTCCCTAAGAAGGAAATACTTGTTTTGGGGTTATGAACGGCAGGCTAGCTCACCAACAGTATCTCAAGTCTCTCCATCATTGCCAGAGTCCTGCAGCATTTACAGGAGGAATGTGAACCTTTGTTTTGATGCTACATTATACAGAGTGTCTAACACCTGCACCACTCCAAAACAATGATAATAAACATCTTTGTCCAAAAACCTGGACACACTTTCATCAAGTGGACAAGTAAAAATTCAACGATTTTAATCAGTATTCTTGCAGAGAAGTGTGGATATGTATATGCATATATACATATATATATATCAAAATTGAGAATTTACAAATAAAACCTGATGCATTTAGTCTAACAGTGGGAAAGTCCATGGAATTTCAATGTCCTATAGTGTCTTTGACGATGTTTTCAGTAATTCCACTGCATACCAAGATTGAGTTTGAAATTGAAGCTCAAGTTCAGCTGATTTTGGAGTTGAAAATGAGAAAAATAGACAGTGCTCAATAAAGCAAGCCTTGCATGCTCATCCTGCTCCTTGAAGATGCTGGAGTGTCGGAATTCTGTGTCTAGACTCTGGTCTTCACACAGGATCAGCAGCCGGTGTAAGATGGCTCTAGAGTATGCGGTTGCAAACAAACAGACAAAAAGAACTGTAGGGAAAAAACTGTGGAAAAGCAATGTCTCAGCAAAACTGAATCTTGTTTGTAGTCCAGACCAAGTGGGACTGAGCTCTAGGCTGAAGATGTCCGCGATGTCCAGAGTGCACCTGTGGGATGGACTCCTGAGATGGGGGCCAGCAGGGCTGGGGACACTGTCTTTCCCCTGCTCACGGCTCCAAGTGCAAAATAGTCAACATGGCTGTGTGGGCGAACTTGCAGTGGACAGTCCTGTGGTCACCACTTTCCTGGGATGGAGACCCCACACTCATACCAGCCCACGTAGTAGTAGGGGGTTCCAAAACCAATGTGGCCAAAGCTGACGGGCTCCTGGCGATACTGGCGATAGTATCCTGGAAGGGTGATGGGAATGAGAGGGGAACAGGTGCATTAAAATGAATTGTCAGGCAAAGTCTGCATCCTTCCAGTCTCCCTCCAGACCAAAGCCCTCTGGCAAACTGTTCTTACTTCTAAATAAACAGAGGCACTGGGTGGGAGGGGCTCGCCATAGCCTGAGATTTACCTCAGGCAGGGTCAGTAGGAGGTGATCTAATTGCTCTATTTCTCTCTCCTCACCAAACAAGGTAGCCTAAGCCAATCACCAGTGCACTCTCACCCTGGGGCAGCCCTTGAGCTCTGTAAATAAAATTGAGTAGGATTCACAATTGCTCCTCATGGAGCTTAAGGCCTCCAATATGCCAGAACTTCAAAACCCTATAGTTTGATTATCAGGACTTGGGTTGGACTTTTAGATCTTTCAAGGGTATCTCCCACAGGAAATAATCCTGTGGCATTAATACCACTTCACCATTGAAATAGACATGATGTTCCAACCTACCCACAATGTTTCAGGAAACTCAACAACTGCTCTCAGGCTTGGCCTATTTAGTCATGCCAAATAAATGGCTCCTTGTGATACTACCAGTGACTCTACTGATTAACCAGCTTCTAAGACCCAGGCCATGATCACAGGCAAAGAAACACAGTAGGGTACAGATAATATAGGCATGTAACTGTAGCTCAGGGTAGCTATAAGAACCTGAAAAATTATGATATATTGCGTATATTTGTTATGATGGTCAAGTAGGCTAGGTTAGGTATCTGATCCAATATTATTCTAGATTTTTTGACTTCTTATTTTTATTTTTTAGGACCTAAAACATTCCAAACATCCATCTTCAAATGACAAACCAAGGAGAAGCTACGACGAATCCTGTGCTGTTATTCCCTCCTCTTCTATCCTCTGCAGAACAGAGCTAGCATGTGTTCATATTTACCTTGGATGGTAGGGAGCGCTTCTATATAGGACTGAGGCCCTGTTCTTCCATCAAGGTGTGAATCCACAAACTGGCAGTGGTCTTCCCCTCTTCCCCAGCTATCTCCAATGCTGTAGAATGTGTCTACATAAAGGAATATGACAGTGAATGACTAGTGAAGTATGTCACTTGCATCTGGCCTGGAAGCTGGAACAAGCTTTGAGGACCATTACAGTTGGCACATTACTTAAGTAGCATGTTTCACACATTTAAAAAATGGTTAAAATGGCACAATATCAGTAAGCATTGTAAGGATTCAGCAAGATGGTATATCCTAAATATTTAACCAATGGTCAGAAGGGAGAAACCATGAGTGACACATTGGCAGTTCTAGTCTATACATGAAGGACTTGTTCCTTAGTTTTGCCAAAGGAATAGAGAAAACTGGGATAGAAAATATATAATCAAATAATTGTGAGAAACAAACAGGTCTATACAAATAGAAAAAATGCTTTTTTAGAATTGGCTGATTGCATTATGTTCATTTTCAATTTAATTTTTGACTTAGCAAACATGTATACTATGAGGGAGTTTCACTGTAATAAATCCGCAGATGTATAGTTTTATACATGAGAGGGCACAAATCTGTAGCAGAAGGTGCTGTCCGTGGTCCTGAACCACTACAGCCCAGGATGGCAACATTATGTCTCCCACCATGGGAACCAGAGAGGATGTGTGACCGCTCTCAGAGATGTTGAAACAGGAGAAGGACACAGTTGGAAGATACAGGAAACAGCAGAGAGAAAATTCCAGAAGTTTGGGAGAAAGGCAGATTTGTAGAAATTGTCAGAGCAAGAAAGGGGAAGGGAGACAGTATTTTGACATTGCCTTGAAATGATCCCTACTAAAAGTGATATCTTAATAGGGTAAACAAATAAAAATGTCATAATAAAATACAGAATGGTCAAAAGGAAACATAAAAGATTATCAACTAAAAATGAATAGCTGTTTTGTTTTGAAATATGAAACACGCTAAAGCTGGACACCAGTGGCTCACTCCTATAATCTTAGCTACTCAGGAGGCTGACATCTGAGGATCAGGGCTCAAAGACAACCTAGGCATACAAGTTCTTGAAAGTCTTCTCTTCAATGAACCTATAAAAAGTCAGAACTGGAGCTGTAGCTCAAACAGTAGTGCATCAACCATGAGTAAAAAGAGCCAAGTGAGCTGGAGATGAAGACCCTGAGTCCCTGAGTTCAAGCCCCATTACTTATATAAGAGCAAACTACCAAAACAAATTGGAATAGATGAGTTAAAACCAACTGGCCAGAAAATGAATTTTTAAAGTGTTAGGAGTCCAAGGTTCTTGTGTCTTTCTTTGTTTGAATCCCCAACCGCACTGAAAATGAGGTGATTTTAATTCTGACAGAGCAAGCAGCATGGCTAACATTCGTTCACAATCTGCATCTTTTTCTTTATTAAGTGGTGATGGTGGTGGTGATGGCGGGGGTGGTTTCCTCAGTTCCCCCAGTTGTTATTGAATTAATAACCAATAAAACAGTCTTTTAAGTTTCTAACTGAATTTCAGACTTTCCTCCCAAAGTAAGTGGATTTAAAATACACACACACACACACACACACACACACACACACACACCAAGGTCAGAAGTAGCAACCTTATGGTAGAGCCTGGTTAGTGTTTGAATGATGACAGGTTCCAGGCTTCAACTCTATGCACCTTCTCTGTCAAGCTTGTGTCTGATAAAACCAGACTTCTCCATACCTGTGTGGCCACCGTCCTCATGGACCTACCTTTCAAGTTGTCACTGAGGTAGATCTTATATCTCAGTGAATTGCAAAGAACGACTCCCACAAACTTTTTATACCACGTCCGTTTCACATATTGCCGACCGTGGCAGTCTGTGTAGCCAGGGTCGTGTTTGAAAGCAAATGGAATCCAGATGGGCTCACCACCTTGACAGCAAAAAATACAGCTCTAGGTTATGCAGCCTCCCGTGGCTTATCATCATTCTTGCAGTGTCAGAGCTTAACCTATTTGCTGAGCCTCCCTCTTCACTCTCCTGTTTGAGTTCTGTAATACAACTTGTGAATTCCTTTTACCTGAGCATGTTGACAGTATTTGGATTTCATCAAGGAATGTTTGGTATTAAGACCTAAGCTTCACAGGGAAACCAGCTGTCACAGCAGATTTGATCTTTTGGAGCATGCCATCCTGCCACAAGCCCCGCACCATAGATTCCCGTTCTCTTGTCATTTACAAAGTCAGTCTTGAGCTTAAGCAATTGGACACTTAATTCATCTTGCCATTGTTTCACCAACTGAGAGTACGCATAAGGGTTGAAAAAAAATATCTATGTTATGCACGTTGGCTACCTCCATCATGGGTTTTCACAAATATTGTCCACAATGGTCCTATTACATTTCCAGGTCATTTTGTTCCATAGATCAAGATGGAGAATGGGTAGAAGTTGCCATAAAACTATGAAAATTCATAAATGGCCCAGAATTTCTACCTGTAACCACAGCAACCTCACCTCCCATATTCAACCTGATAAACCAGGATGCCAAAATCCTTAGGATGAGACACTTACCTGGGGGCCTCACTACGAGCAGAGGATTGTCTGTGAAATGAAAAGAATAAAGAAATGACTTTGGACCGTGCTTCACAAATTATGCACATGTGGGAGAAAATAAATGGAAGAATAGAAGTGAGGCTTATTTCTTAACTGTCAAAAGTGTTCCTGTTTTAATTTTCTGGGCATTTCTTTTAGAGGAATACTCATTTCTTGCTAGCTGCCTTATTCACATAAAAGCTGTGGGATTCTGAAAATGATAAGGTTGTAATAATTGGATGCTACAAAATAGCTTGATACCTTTTCCTTTTTAATAAATTCTATATTTAAAGAACAGTGTGTTAGCTTCCTAAAAGAGTACAGATCATCTACTATATAATCCATTCACTTCACTTTTGGGTGTTTATCCAAGATAAGATGTAGGTCCATGCCAACATTTAGATATGAATATTTTTGGTATCTTTGTAAGAGTCACAAAGTAGAAATAGCACCAATTGTCCTGACAGGTGATAATAAAAGAGAATAAAGTATTGATGGGATGATGCATGGTTTTGCTCTAGGAAGCCAGTCAATGGGGCACATTGCAGATGACAGGGGACGTTCTAGAGGGTGAGCACTACTCTACAGTGACAGAGCAGAGAAATGGCTGCTGCTGACAAGCCCCGGGCAGCCTTGCGGTCTGACTCATGATTCTCACATGGCTGGGGTGACGGGTGTTGAACTAGCACATCTGGATTTATTTTTATCACCCTTTAGTTTTGAGTGTTAGGGATCAAACTCAGAGTCTGGTACATGCTAGGGGAGAGCTTCGCTGCTTAGATACATCACTAGTCAAATCTGAGTTTCTTGAGAGCTCTTGAATTAGAACCCTTTTTAAAGTGCTGGTCACTTGGCTTGAACTCAGGGCCTGGTCACTGTCCCTGAGCTTTTCTGCTAAAAGCTATCATCCTACCACTTGAGGCAGAACTCTACTTCTGGCTTTTTGGTGATTAGTTGCAGGTAAGAATCTCATGAACATGAGCCACCAGCACCTGGCTGGTCACTCACCACTCAGCCCCTTTACTTCCCTCAATTGCTGGTAGTGATACGAGTCAACTGAGGGAATAACAATGCTACTAGGCAGCAAGGAATGTGGGTGGGGCCTCAATTCTTGATTCCTATTGGTCAGAGAGAACTTGAAAAGTAGGGGGCGTGGCCGGAAATTAGTGATCCAGGAAGAATGAGTGGAGTCACAATAAAAGCAGTTCCTACAGCCCCTCCCCATAATACCCTGTCCAGTTTGGTTGGGGGCATGATGGGCCTGCTTTTACTGGATGCATGTCGTTTTGTGGGTTTTCTTTTTTGGGGGGGTGGTTAGTTGTAGGGCTTGAACTCAGGGCCTAAGCATTGTCCCTGAGCTCTCTTTGCTCAAGGCTAGCACTCTACCACTTTAAGCCATAGTGCCACTTCTGGTTTTCTGGTGGTTAATTGGAGAGAAGAGTCTCACAGCCTTTCCTGCCCAGGCTGGCGTTGAACTGCAATCCTCAGATCTCAGATTTCTGAGTAGCTAGGACTACTGGCATGAGCCACTGACACTCAGCTTGGATGGGTATAGTTTTATAAATATCCAAGACACAACTATGGTCACCAGAGTTTCCACTAGACTTCTAACTATCCTTTCAGGAAGTGGCATCAAGAATGCAACTAGCTGGCCACATCCAATGTCTTCATGTCTTCACTCCGTGCAGAATTAACTCTATTGTTCTGGCCATATTTGCTGACACTTGTATTCTGATCAACAAGTCACTGGGGTTCATAGTGGCCTTGATGTAACCTACTCTTCCAGTTGCTCTGGGTCTGGATGGTGCAGGGACATCACAGGTCTGGGCCTCTTCTCCATGTACATTGGTCACGCTGCATACAGCACACGTAGGCCATGCATAATTTCCTAGGCTAAAGGGAGTTTGAGGCAGTGGAGATCATCTTCTTTCTACATTTCAATGAAATCTTACCATAGCACATGTTCCACACACTCTGGCTGGTGATCTCAGAGAATTCAGACATACAATCATAGGAGAGAAATGCCGCTCCAGAATAAACTCAGTCTGTTAGCTGGGTAGTCAGCTAACCAACCGCATCCAAATGATGTCCACTGTGTCTAGAATCCAGGTTCTGGGGCAGCCCTCAACCACTCCAGAGCTCTGGGACATCTGTTTTTAGCACTGATCAGTAAGTTTTCTCATCCCGGGAGTCCAGGTGAGACCTAGGCCCATTGTTGGGCTGTAATCAAGCCATGGATCCAAACTAGGTTCTCCTGTATGGCTGGGCTGGGGAAGGCTCAGTTTCCAAGCTCCTGTGATTGGCAGCATCCCGTTCCTCACAGAGGGCCTCCACTGGCTATTGATGCTCTCAATTTTTGCCACATGACCCTGTCCACAGGGCAGTTCACAACATAGCAACTAGATTCTTCAGCGCTCCCGGGAATATGAATCTAAGATATGGGAGCCTGAGGTAAGGGAATTCTAGGCCCAGGCATTTTTGTTGTGTCACCATTGGCCAGCTAGACTCACTACCGCTCCTTGTTCCTGTGCATCACGGCCCATGTGACAACAGTTACAACAAATACTAACTAACAGAAAGAAAGAATGTTTATGTTATAAAGAGGAGCCTTAACGAAACTCCTCAAATGGAAAAGAAAAGATCTGACTGAGTTTTCACTCAGCTGTGGTTATTATTTTGGAGGCTTGATTCTACTCTTTAGAAAGGGTAAACAAGAAGAAAGTGCAGTTATTCATACCTGATTCAGTAACGAATGAGACCGAAGGACTGACTGGTCCATAGCCATGAGGATTTTTGGCTTGAACTTTAAAGTAATATCTGAAATAAGAAGAAAAACACTTTTGAAAAAGAAATTTATTTGACTTGTGTATATTAGGCAGACTCAAGCTACTGAACACTTAAGATTTTGTGGCATGCTTAGATCCTAATTCATTTTAATCGCTAGTGATCTTTGCATTTTTTCTGAACTTTCTCATCTTAATGAGCTGATAAAGTTATAGCACATATGACATGGTAATGCAATAGAATAGGGACATGAGGCAAACAGGTGGGTCATCAGATGACCCCTGGTCTGGGTTGTTTGTCTCCCCTCTGCTGATTTCTGATGACACCTGCTTGTTCCAGCTTAAGACTCAGGTCCTAGCCTGAGCTCTACAGCCTGACAGAGAGAAGTTAGAGTGTTAAATTTAGAGTCGAATTCAAATTTTAACCCAATCCTCCCATCACTGAAGTCCATACAGAAAAGCAGGATGTTGGGTCCCATAAGGTGGAACTCATGCCTGGCAGGCAAAGGGTGAACCTGGCTGGAGGCTGGCACCATCACTGGAACTAATCAGACAGTGATGACTTGGGCTTCCTTGAGAAGTGCTGTACTTGACTCTGGAGCCCAGAATGGACACCCTTCAAGCCACTGGGGTTTGAGCTTCTGGGTCTAAAGGGATGAAAAGGAGTAGTGGAAGAGTGATTGCAGAAGAAATGGTTTTGGAACAGAGGATGCTCTGGAAAGCACACTGTCTGAGACAGCTAGCTCATCTGGAGGGAGACTGGGTCTCAAAAGTGGCTGTGTACTCCTGCAGGATAACAGTGCTGGTGAGAGAAGTCCAGGGGCCCTGCAGTGAGCTAGAACTCACTGTGATTTCTTTACCCCTGGATTCCAGATGTCATGTCTCTCTCTTAGGATGTCCTTTTATAAGCGTGGTGGCTCTCCATACTATAGTCTTTTCCTCCGGCTTGGCTAGGAAGAGTGTCATAATTCAACCATCCAAAGTTCTGTATCTGGTTAAGTCAGGCACCCAGATTTCATGCACTAATTAAAATGGGGAAAGGTTATTCCTGTTGAACTTTCTAGGCCCAGAGCCTGAAAGCCTGTGGAGCCAGTAGCTCTGCAGAGCCTCTCCTGGCCTCACAGTGAGCAGTTATTTTCCCGTAACTTTGACTAATTGGCAAAGGAAAAGCATTTGGTAAAATTACTCTTCATAAAGTCATTCCTGTCTTATTTGGGAGTATTCCTTTTTTTAATTTCAAAATTTTCAAAAGACACCCACAATTAAGAACATCTGTGTTTCCAAATCTTAACATTGTTTGCTTCCTAATTACTCATACTTTGTGTGTGTGTGTGTGTGTGTGTGTGTGTGTGTGTGTGTGCGCTGGTCCTGGGGCTTGAACTCAGGGCTTGGTCATTTGTCCCTTGCATTGTTGCTCAAGGCTGGTGTTCTACCACTTAAGCCACACTGCCATTTCCAGCTTTTGTGTGGTTAATTGGAGATTAGAGTATCAGGGACTTTCCTGCCTGGGGAGGTGACTTTGAATTGCAATACTCAGATCTTAGCCTCCTGAGTAGCTAGGATCACACATGTGAGCCACGGGCACGCAGCAGTTATTCACAACTTAATCAGTGACTGTGGGGTAATTTAACCCAAAAGTTCAAGCAGGGTGTTTGGCACATGTCAATAATCCTGGCCAAATTTTTTTTGGGGGGGTCCGGTCATGGGGCCTGAACTCTGGGCCTGGGTGCTGTCCCTCAGCTCTTCAGCTCAAGGCTAGAGCTCAAGGGTAACACTCTATTGCTTTGAGCCACAGTGCCACTTCCCATTTTCTGGTGGTTTATTGGTGATAAGAGTCTTGTGGACTTTCCTGCCCAGGCTGGCTTTGAACCACAGTCCTCAGATCTCAGCCTCCTGAGTAGCTAGGATGACAGACATGATCCACCAGAGCCCAGCAGCTTCACTGTTTCTTATGTTTTAGATCTAACTCCCCCCACTCTGAGGAAGTTCTCCTAACTTTCTTTTCTACCCCAGGCTCAGGCTAAAACAACAACAAAAGTAGGAACTGTCCCAGTATTTTCTTATGTTTCCTACTGATACTGACCAGTGGAAGTAGACATATTTATACTCTTTTTTATTGAATCTGTCTCCTCTACCAGACAGTAAGTTCATGGGGACAGGACTGGAAGCTCCTGGGGACAGGACTGTAAGCTCATGAGTCAGGACTGGAAGCTCCTGGGGACAGGACTGTCAGCTCACAAGGGCCACAAGTACTTCGCCCTGCATCCTTGCATTCCCCTTAGGTGGTGCCTGGTCCAACATTAACACTCAGGAAGAGTTTAGTGAATTAATATGGAAACCAATGCCTGTTACAAGGACAAATAATACACCATTGCACAGAACCACTACCTAATTTTCTTCAAAAGTTAACTTCCTTCTGTAGGGCAGCACAAGTTCTGGAAGGCATGGGATTCCAATTTTGTCAGTTTTGTGACACAGTGCTGGGAGCATCTTCAGCTTCTGAAGTAGTGGGTGGCTGGGCTAGCACAGCTCTGTCATTCTGCACACAACAAAACAAATGCTAATCCTGCCTCTCCCATCCTGTCGTTTTTGTTTTCTCTAATCAATTCTTCATTGCTACCAGGGAAAAATAAAGGAAAGTACTTTCGCAACTTTCTGTTTTGCTACTCGTTTGCCGAATCTGAAATGCTAAACAATTTATGACTGCTCCATCGTAGGGAGCCTATACAGTACATTGCAATGCTCTGAGCAAAGTTCTCGGGCATTCTCAGAAATCTCTCAGTGCCTGGGCAAAGGCTAGATGCTCTGCTCTGCAGCAAACGTCTGTTTCATGGGAAGAGTCTGTTCCAGGCTTCTCCATGCTCCTCTGCCTGTGTAGAGCAATCTGGTCCTCAGACCCACCCGCATGCCACTTTGAGCTATTTACTAAGCAAGCCTGTGGGGTCTGTGCAACCATGCTGGGGTACAGCCATCTGCAGTCTATTCGGGAATTCTGCGGGACCTGTAGCTTGAAATTGGCTGTGGTGGAATAGTGACATAACAGGAATTGGAAAACAGCATAAACCAGAGCTTTTCATTTTCCAGAGAGCCAGAGGACAGGCACCTGCCAGTTCACACATGGAAGGTGTTTGAGGGTCACTACTTCCCAAACCAGGAATAATAGCTCATCTTCTTTGTAGCCACAGGAAACAGTTGTGCCTGTTCCTCACTGAATGCTACAAACTCTTCCATCAGGTGCTCCGACCAGCCAGCCACTGCTCACTTTATGAAGACAAGCTTGTAACCCTTACTTTTGGCTATGTGGTACTGAGGTTTTGACTCAGGGACTCATACTTGCTGGTCAGGTGTTCTACCATGGTAACCACATCCCCATCCTTTAAACTTTATTTTTTTCAGGTGAGGTCTCACATTTTTGCCTGAGACAGCTTCAGACCATTATCCTCATACCTGTGTCCTCTCCTGTGGTTGAATCACAAGTACACACAATTATGCATAGCTCATTGACTGAAATCGAGGTCTTAATTGTTTTTTGTTCTGGCTGGCCTTGGACTACAGTCCTCCTGATCTCTACCTCCTGAGTAGCTAGGATTACCTACATGAATCATTGCTATGTAACCCTTATTCATATTGAAATGCACCATTCTAGAATGATCTGAACTTCCATATCATAGTACTTATAGTATTTAGCAATTGCTGCTCCATTAATGTCCCATCTCCCCAGTGTGCCAATCACATTGGTGACTTAACCTTCAACACTTCTATCTTTGATGGCATGAAGTGTTTACCATAATAAGGAACAAGATATAAGCACAATAACAACATTGCAACATAAATAATAATTTCTCCTAAGTGAAAATGACAAATGTTTAGCATTCACTGACATTCCATAAGAACTATGCAGATGATTCAAGGAAACCATAAAAAATGCATTAGTTAACCCTCTGTTTTCAAGCAAAGGATCTCTGGGAACATGCCCAATCATCTCTTGTTTTGTTTTCAGACATCCATACCTTGTGTTTGGCTTCAGGTTCTCAATGGGCAAATGGGTGACCGATGAAGTTTGAGTGGACCACTTGTTTCTAATGAAGTCTTCATAGGATGCACTGTAGACCAGGTACCCTGGAAATGGGAATAGGAAGAACCCAGTGAGCATCAAGGAACCAAACTGCACCAGAGGTGTCACAGGGAAGGGGCAGCAGCGTGCACAGGCAGCTTTGGGGGAAATGCAGGGAGAGAACGTTTTGCTAACCTCATTTAGACACATGAGAAAATGTAGTCATGGAACAGATGCCTTGTCTAAGTTCCCATCCACTAACTCAATCAATAACCACCTGTCATGCAACTGTTACTTGATACTAAGAGTGGGAGATAAACTAATCAACAAGAAGTCAAAGCAGTGGGACTCCTTCTGGAATAGTCCATGGGGGCTCCAGGAGCAGTGTAGGGAGAGCTAACCTATGTGAAAGACATGAATTAGACCACAGAAGTCGAGAAGGAGGAAAAGATCCATGGCACTAAATACATCGGACAGGCAGCCTTTATTTCACTTGGCAACCTGTATCACCCATTAATGTCCCCCACATAATAAATAAGGATGTTGGTACCAGAATGCAGGTAAACTAGGCTCTGAAGCCCCTCCTTCCCACATTGTTTCCTGAAGGGGAGTCTTTTTGTTGTTGCCGTTCAATGAGTATGTTCGTTGTCATTCAATGAAATGTTCCTACTGTGGTTTGGAAACACGATTTCTCTCCAAAAGGAAGCTTTGTTAGAGGCTTGGCTCCCAGATTGGCCTTCCTGGGACTCTTCAGGAGATGGACATGGACATGGTCCTTAGTCATTGGGGGTATGCTTTCTAAGGGACTCTGGGCTCTCCCTCTTTTTCTTCTTTGCTCCCTAACATTAGATGAATTCCCAGCACCCCCATCCGGAGCTCCCATCAGAGGCCTAAAGAAATGAGCCCACCATGTCTTGAACTCAAAAGTACAAAACTAGAGGCTAAAGATAACTTTTACTATCTATAAGTTAATTGTCTGAAGTATTGCATTACAGTGGCGGGAAGCTTAACCAGTTGCTGCTGTCTCCATAAAATTCTTCTTCCTCTGATGACCTCCAGCTTCTGTCAGAATCAGGAGCTTTCTGTATGGGGAACTGGCGTGTCTGCTGATCCTTAGGCCTGGGTTTTGAACTGACACACATCTCATACGCCAAGGTCTGGAGGCTCAGTCTTTGGACATTCTGCCATCACTTCCACTTCCCCCATAAGGAACTGGGGTGTACTCAAGCTAGTTACGCAGCAAGCATCCAGCAGGATGGAATGAGGGTGAGCGGAAGATTCAGGCTTCAGTAGAAGCTCCTTCATGACCCTTTCAGCTGGCTTCCTGGCCATTTGCAGAGTGGCAGGATGTGAGAGATGGAATTATTTTTTGCATATGGGAAAGCCAAGGCCCAGGGAGATAAAGTAGCCAACTCGTAGTCAGATCAACCCATCTGGGACTAGGACTCAGGCTCTCAACTCCATCCACTCTCAGGCTTGCCAATATTCCACCCCATTGAAGGCGACATCTGCCCTTTCCATCAAACATACCCATCTGTGAACCCACTTATTCATCTATCTACCCCTGACGCTCTGTATTTACTACCTGTGTATCAGTGGAAATTGTGTGGGCATCTGCCCAAGACACACCTGTGACCACATCCCCAGGGGTGGCTTTGTCCCAGTCTACAATGACAAACGAGTGGCAGCCTTCCATGGCGACCACAGTGATGTTGCGAGGAGCTGTCTGGGGAGGCAAGTCGTTCTTCCTCAGATCATTGGGAATGATTTCATGCAGGCTCTCCACTTGGAAATGATCCAGAGCATCCGTCAGAGAGCAGGGGGCCGAGGGATCTTTACTTAGGTACGTCACATATGGAGCTAGAAAAGAGCAGAGGTGTACAATCAGATTGCAGCTGGCTTCTGGAGGTAGAATCATGGCATCTACTCCATGAAGTCTGACCTTGCAGCATTTTCCAATCCCTAGGCCCAAACATTTGGATAAGTGTGAGCCAGTAAGAGTGTGCATGAGTAAGTCAGTCACCCAACAGTTAACTAGCGTTCTTTCACAACAGTGCTTTCCCCAACCATCTTGGGACCAGAAGACAACATCCACTAAGCAAGACATTTCAAGCTTCAGCTGGGAGTACCTTCCCTAGGGCTTCATGAATCCACAACCACCTGGGATGTCTGTGCACAAGGCCCGGCCCAAGCACCTCTCTGCAACACCCATCCCTCCTCAGTGTCATAGCAACTACCCCTGTTTATGGGTGGGCCATAGCTCTTTCTACCCCTGTGATCTCAGTCACTTCAAGGGGTCTGAGGATGGGGCCAGGTGTGAGCTGGCATTACTGTTATACCTGAACCTCTTGGTGCAGATAGCATGCCCACAATTAAAAGCTCCAAAGGAAAATCTGCCCAACCCACAGTTTGTTTAATTCCATTCCACCCTGTAGGCTAGAAATGCCAAGAAATTGACGTTTGGAACACTCAAGTATTTTTGCATCACAATTCTTGTCATTCCTAGCGTCCACTGCATCTTTGACTGCTAGGCTCTCCTTCTTAGGATTTGTTGGGTCTGAATGCAATTTCTTGGCTCCTCCAACTTCCAATTATTTAGTATAAAACTAGGCCTATAGGGATTGTCTGTAGATCTCCTCAGAAAGTTTTGGGAAGTGGGTTATGACATCTTATAGGAAAGTTATAGTCATAAGAAAAATAGCCAACCCATGGTAAGTCTTTCAGTCTTTGGAAGTGCTCTGTAGGACAGCTAATCATAGCATTGAATTCTTTTTCATTTCTGCCATGGAACTCTAAGAACAGAGAGAGCACTTGGTGAATGTAGCCGGACATCAGCACACTGTGGGCACACTGGCATTAGCTCAGAAATGCTACATCAGAGTAATCTTCTTGTTCCTCAAGAACGTGAGGTTTAGACACTCAATCGATTACTGCATCTTGGCTGGAACACTTTCCTGCTTATGGCAGGGTATTTGTTTTGGAAACAGAAAAGTGTGATATTAATTTAAGCTGTTGCTTGTCTCCACTTGCTAACATATTAATCTGTCTCATCAGTGAAGTTCATTCAGAGCATGGGAAAAAGACTTGGAAAGAGAATGAAATACGGTTTAGCTACAGAGAATTTCCTACTTATATTGATTTAATTACAGAGAGAGAGGACAAACATGAGTTTCTAGAGAAACTTATAGGAAATAACTGGAGAAAACCAGCTTTGTTTCTGCTTATATCTATGCTAGTGGTTCCTGGTGACACCACACCATAAGCTGTTAACCCTATAGGGAGAATTTAACAAACTACATGTGGATAAGGCCTGGTAATAAATCTTATCTTAGGGAAACTAGCTTTGATAAAATAGAATGACACATATTCCTGGTGAACCTGATTTTTCTGGTTTTATTTTTATTTTTTTGGTTGGTCCTGGGGCCTGAGCTCTGGGCCTGGGCGCTGTCCCTCAGCTCTTCAGCTCAAGGCTAGCACTCTACCATTTAAGCCACAGCGCCACTTCCAGGTTTTACTGCTTATGTGGTGCTGAGAAATTGAACCCAGGGCCTCATGCATGCAAGGCAAGCACTTTATTACTGAGCCACTTTCCCAGCCCCTGATTTTTCTTTCTGGCTCTTAGGCTACAAGGGCAGCAGCCTCTTTAAATGATCCTCTGTTGGACACCAGCTGTCCTTGAGATCTTCCCTTCTTCTGACTTTTGCAGAAAGTAAATTCATATGCACCTCAACAAGACTGACTCACTAAATCACCCCAAATGGAAGGAAACTTCACTCTGGGCAATGTCTTGGCCAAGGAATTAGTTACACTCTTCTTCAAAAGGGGAAAGTTAAACAGCCATGTTTCTCCAATCAAGGAAGTTATATTTACCAACAAACCGCTTCTTTCCTGCCAGATCAAATTCTTCCTCAGGGAAGGAGCTGATGGTGCCTTCCTCCTGGATGACCTGCGGTGTGGTGGCGGGCATGGTGGTGGCTGGTGCTGGTGGCCGTGTGGTCTCAAATTCATAATCTGAAAGGAGAGGGAAGCTTGGGAATGGGGCCCTTCCAGGAGAAGGGCACCATTTGAAGTCAAAAGATACTTCCTTAAGATTCAATTGTAGTGCCCCTCTCCCCACTGAAAGAACTGCTATGCCTACACATACTGTCTCTAGTAATATACCAGTTTTTTCCACATCTGTCCCTTTAGAAAAACGGCTGCAGATAATAAGAGAGGAAGAGAAATCATATGTCCATGAAAACAGGGTTTTATGGTAATAGCTGTGGGGACCCTTGCAATTTAGAACCTTTAGAAGTTATGGCATCCCAAGAATAATAACAGCATCAGTTGTCAGTGATTCATGTTGCTAACCCAACACTCTTCCTGACCAGAATAATTTCCCCTTGTAGAGCCATAAAAGGTCATTAACAGTGAATTAAAAAAACTTGAATTTAAAAAAAGTCTGGGTATAGTCTATTTTTCCTCTGCTGAGGAGAAAGGTAGGATTAAAGATCTAAAGAGAACTCATTTTTTAACATTAAAAAAAAACAATAAAACCATGCTTCAATTGTCCAAACATAAAAAGACTGATTATTTTCCAAGGTGCCAAGAAATCCTCCTCAACTTCCTGACATGTGCTGTTTTTCTAAATCAAGTTTTCTTTGCATACTGTAGTGGATTAAGTCACTACATCAAACCTGGTTAGAAATAAATACAGCATCAAAGGTGACATTATTCACACAGCTATAGTTTAAGACAATTGGGGCCAAGGCTGGTGATAGGCTGGGGTGAGAGGGGGTTTTGCAAATCCTGAGCACATCCTGAGCTCAGGTGTCAAAGTCCTCAGCAGGTGGGGACAAGTTCCCCTATGAACCTCTGAACTACAGAGGCAACGTGCACAGCACACAAGGTGTTCCATAGGCCCCAATAACAACAGCATCAGTTGTCATTTCTTGAGAGGCCGTTCCAATTCCTGCCAAAGGCACTTCAGATACATGTGCATGCATGTGTGTGTGTGTGTGTGTGTGTGTGTATGTGCATGCACGCACACGCACTTGCCACACTGGGGTTCAAAAATCAGTGCTTCATGCTTTATAGGCAGGTACTGTACCACTTAAACCATCCTTTATAGCCTTTTGGGGGAAAAGGATGGAATGAAAGGATTTCATTATTTTTGGAATAAGATCTGGAGTGATAGCCTACACTTTGATTTTCCTATTTAATGTTCCCACATAGCTGGGGTGATAGGCATGTACCAACACACCCAGGGAGTTTCTGAGCTTTCTGCAAGGTCCAGTCTCTGAGATTCTCCAGATCTCTACTTCCCAAGTAGCTTAAGATTACAGATGTGAGCTACCGTACAATTCCTGGCTCATTTTATATTCCTGAACGTACTGTACTTGAAAAGATACTATAATAAGAAGTAACATATCTAGCAGTATCATAATTTGTATGTAATTAGAAAAGAGGAGGAAAAAAAGGTGTGTGCAAGAGAGAGAGAGAGAGAGCGAGTCAGGGAGGAAGTCCAGATGATAGTTAAACCATATGGTTTGGCAAGCAGAGGTAGGGGAGAGAGCCAAAACAGTAGCAGCCCTAGTATTTCTTCACCAGAAAGAGACTGTGAGGGGGGACGGGGGTTGGGAGATGTGAGGGGGGAGATGGGAAGGGACAGGAAGGGGAAACAAAGGAGGAGGCAACAATGCTTGATAAGAAATGTACTCATTATCTTGCTCATGTAATTGTAACCCCTTTGTAAGGTATTTTCACAATAATAATAATAAGAGACTGTGAAGGATTTGTTGAGAAGCTGCATTTGCTTGTGAAGCACACTGCTTTCCTTTAGATCAAAGGTGAATTCAAGAGGGACTCTAAGGGGAGTGATGGCTCTAACCACCATCTCAAGTCAATCCAAAGGAAATTGCAATTGAAATCATCCACTCAAAATCAGATCCTTGGGGAGGGAAAGAAAATACACAAGTGTTTTAGAATCCACTCATACCTTCATCATATACAACATAAGCCTCTTCTGTCGGTGTTATGTCTGTCTCCAGGCCTGAGAAGTCATCTGGGGAGGGAGAGAGAGCAGGAGTCATCTTGTGATTCTTCCAAGTGCTGTCTGAGTTGGGCCCAGGACATAATGTAACAGTTATCCACCTGAGTGGCTCATAGAGACCAGCCAGCTACACCAGCATCTCCTCACCTCTCCAGAGACCAGCAGAACTCTGGAGTGGTGCTCTCTCCTTTGGGATCAAAAAGGAATGATATAAATGTCCCCTGACCAGGAGCTAACATGTCTCTGTTCCTGGGGATCCCTCTGCCAACACAGCCCACCCACCCATTAATCAGCTAGGATTATCAATCATTACTCAGAAATATTCCACTGGCATGAGTCTACCTGCCTTTTGGGACTCTAGTTTGATTAATATCATGAGTGTTAGTCAGGCATTGTGACCCAGGCCTGTGATCTTAGCTCATCAGGAGGCTGAGTTCTGAGGATCACAGTTGAAAGTCAGCCCAGGAAGGAAAATATATGAGATGCTTATTGCCAATAAACCAACCAAAAGCCAGAAGGAGAGCCTTGAGTAAAAAAACCCAATGAAAGTGTAAGGCCTGAGTTCAAGCCCAAGTCCTGGCACAAAAAGTGTTCATGTGCTAACACAGGCAGGCCTCGCCAAGGGCAGTGGCACATCTAGAGTTGGCTGTCCAGCCCTTTGGAAGATGATGACCTGAAGCCACAACAGCCAGTGAGCTCAGCACTCTTGAGGCATTACCAGCCTCTTCCTGGCATGTCCCGGGGACCGGCGGATGTTTACAAGTTGTAGAGCACCTGGTCTTCAGGGACAGGTGGGTCGTTTCATGAAAAGCCATTCAACACAATTGGATGTTTCCATAGGTCACTCCAATGTCAAGATGTCCAAATCCCAGTTACTAATGAGCTGGTACAAAGTAGCTTCCAGGTTTATACCCACTGAAGTTTGGAGTTCTTTTGCCATTGGTTCCTGGCCTATTGTATTCTTACTCTGTCACATAACTTTTAGGAACTTTGGGGACTTTTGACTTTTAGTATTACTTTTCCTGGTTAGCAGTGTAATCTTCTCATTGTATTATCCAGGTCAAAAATGAATAAATTGTGCAACTTTCGCATTCTGGGATGACCAAGAAGAGGAAAAGTGTATTGCTTCCTTTACCGATTTCTGGCATTAAGGTTAATTCCTTGAGGTGCTGAAATACACGTTTCATGCATTAGCTCACAGAAAGCCGATCTTTTCTTGAGATGAGTGATGGTTGTGGCCTCTGGAATAAAGGAACATCCTATTTAATAACAATACTTCTTTTTCCTAAAGACCAAATCAACTCAGGAAAAAATTTTCTAAATCAGTGTCTTGACTCTAAGAAAAAGTAATGTCCAGATGTAATGCAGTATATTTACAGTTGTTTTAGAAAAGCTTGATTTTTGCTCCACCTAGATGCCATTCAGAGCTATTTGGAACCATGCAGAACTGGCCATTTGATGACATTCATGCCACCAGCTGGAACCTTTCCGTGTAAATGCAGCTGCCAGTCTTCAACCATAGTGGCGGAGTTCTTATTCCCTTCAGTAGTTTACTCATGGTCATAAAAACGGGTGAAAAATATCACCAAAAAAAAGAGAGCATCTGAACCCTACAGAGAAACAGAAATATGAAAAAAGATTTACTGTTCATAGTTGAGAGAAGGGGAGGAGGAAAAGAGGAAGGGGAAGTAACAACCCTTAGAATCCAGGAGTATTTTCACCCTCGATGATGGGTCCAGCTGAAGTAAATTTCAGTGATTCTCTGTATTCTCTGTCAGGAGAACAAGTCTGGCAAGGTGGAGCTATTTACTATCATGGCTGATGTTTTTCTGCACCATGGAATAGGGTTATATTACAGACTCTTGAATATTCATCTGGCTCAGAACATTTCCAAGTACACACAACTTCATCAATGCACTGTAGAAAGAGAACCTGGAAAACAAAGACCAATGGCTTTTACTTCCCAGCTGGAAAACAGACAAGACCTACATATTCAAAAGATGACTGGGTACCATGAGGAATTAGAGATGGAGCAAAAGCCACCCTCTCAGGTACCCAAGGAATATACGTTATCTCATGGAAAACTCAGGTCAAGCAAAAAAACACTGCGTGTGTGTATGTGTATGTGCATGCATGCGTGCCTGTGCATGCGTGTAAGAAGAGAGAAGCATATAAAATGCATCTGTGCCTACAGAGACATATGACATCCATACAACTGAAGGAGTCCCCAGAAATACAGCTTGAATGACTGCATGACTGGGTGGTGCAAAAATATTCCAGAACATCATTTGCAAGCAGTGTTTTCAAGGAAATGAGAGGGGTGTGATTTAACAAAGTGAGCCAAGACTCTCAGATATGGAAAGATGCTTTCAAAACCAGAGAGCTATAAACAGAATGTTAGCACTCTGCAACTAGAATGGGATGTCAGATGGTCAGCCGAAGGGGGGCAGAGGAGGAGGGGTTTCACACCGCCTTCCCCCCCCCGCGCTCCTCAGTGGCCACTGATGCAGGTACCAAGTCATAATCACTACATAATCAACAATAAATGCTGCAAGTGAACAAAAGCCTTGGACAACATGTTGCTGAGCAAAGCTCAGTGTATACACACGGAGGCCCAGCATTCACAGAGGGCAGCATGGACTGGACTGGACTCAGCATGATGAAAGAGAAGCGTTAACGTGAGAGGCAGGGCAGGGGGAGGGAGGCGGGGAGTAAGTCACTGGTGGCTCTGCAGCAGACTCCTTAGAGTGGTATTTTTCCAACATTACACCTCTCTACTCCAAGTGTTAGTGCAGAAATCACAGAATGCACTTCTGCATATGGTGGCCACAACGAAGCACTCAGCCAAGAAACACTGGATGTATTCATTTTATAGATGGTGCACAGACTTTTCTTGAGCAATTGGACTCACTATGTTCAAACCTCGAGCCATGTTTAGAACCAAATATTTCCTCTGTCTCTTTCTCTCAAGAGTGTTTGGCTGGTGGGGTCAACTTAGAGATGGTGAGAACAAAGCAACTATAAGAGCTAAAATGGAGGGAAAGAGAAAGGAGAGAAGGGGGCACTTTGGGAAGTGATGGGTGCCAATGACTTTGGTGATGGTGGTACATTCAGGACTATTTTCTCATCCCTAAACTCATCAAGTTGTAGGCACTAAACACTGGCCACTCTTCAGGTATTAACCAAAGTGGCTTTAAAGGAAAGAGATAACTACAATTTGCACACCTGCAAAGAAGTGCTTGAGTTGCTAGTGAAGCAGGAGGAATTTTAAAATAAAAGGCCATACAAGAGTATCTTAAAAATAATAACATATAATACATTAAAATATTGAATAAGGGTACGTTGCACTCCCAAACTTTAATTCTCTCCCCACAAGATTTTGCCTTTATTTGTACTAGTTTTCAAAATTCTGCCTCTGAGTAGATTATTCTTCAGCCTGAACTAGGGAATTTGAAGAATGCATCTAAGTAAAGAAAAACATATAAGTAAATATGACTTACAGAGAAGAGACACAAATTTCCATGCTTGCTAAATTAAAGCTAAAAGAAAAAGCATGTGAAAATAACATGCCCTAAGATTTTTAAAAGACAAAATAAAATGCACATAATTATAATCAGATTCTAATCATTCTTGCTTACAACCAATTTTAAAGCAATTATCTATTTTAATTAGGCTTCTGTTTAAAAACAAACACATCCACACATGCAGAAGAAAACTTGTGGTACTAGAAATTCAAAGGTAAATTCAGATTGGTACTCACTGGTTAAACAGTAGAAGTACTTCCTCCCCAGTGACGTGGTTCCTTGTTCCGCTGGGTGAATTTGTTGTCAAGTTTTCCTCTTTCTTTGGTACTTCTCCATGAACAGAACGGCTTCAAACAGCATCTTCATTTTGGAAACTGCATTCACAGGCACATGAGCTTCTCATGATCAGCAAGGATTCCAAGCATGGAAAGGATTCCTGAGAGGAAGGAAGGGTCTCCAGGCTGTGCTAGCGTTGAATACTGAGCTCACAGCAGACAGTGCAATTCAGCTCAACTGAAATTTATCCCTGTTGCTGGCTGGCTCCATCCACAGCAGTTTGAACAATGGCCTGAACAGAGATGATGATGACCTGCGGCACAATTGCAGCCTGGACCATTACATCCCAGCTCCATTCTTCTGCACGAACACAGAAAGACACGAAGGGCAGCTGACTGCCGGGATGGAGTGTGGCAAGGCTGGGGGAGTTCATCCTCACATCACGGGAAGCTTGCAGATCCATAAGAAGCCCAGCCAAGTGAGGATTAGCATTTTCCAAAGGGAAGGCTGGTGACGTCGGCTGCCAGCCTCGCTGGGGAAACTCGACTTTCCTTAGATTCACAGGGAAACTGACCATTCAATGTCCAGATGGTTCACCGTGTCTAAATCCCACAGTTATTCATAAAGCCAGCCTCCCTCCCCCCTCCCTCTTCCTTCCCTCCTTTCTTCTTTCCTTCCTTCCTTCTCTCCTTCCTTCCTTCCTTCTTTTAATATAACAACTATTAATCTACTGGTATCCCAGAAATCACTTTAGGAAACAGTAGCTCAAACTAATGTCATAAATTTCTGATTGATCTGTGACTTGGATTGTGACACAGGAACTACGGTCAACACTGAATTTTAGATAAGCAACACATGGCATTTTTGTACAGCATGTTCCACGCAGTATTTCTTAGCTCACTCTGAGAACTCTCTCTGGGACCCAGGACCATCAACAGTTCCCACCTGGACTAAAGGTGACCCTCGTCAACGTCGTGCTCATTACTTACCGCTGCCGGCAGGCTTTGCCACCCTGGACATGCAGCCTGCTGGCTCAGAGGGCTGGGTTACCGGGAGGATGAAGCTGGTTACCTTCGGGGTAGCACTCGGGGATCCCATGTGAGTCTAGTATCAAGTTGCCGTGGTCATCGTGCTGCTCCAGGGTCCCGGGGGGACAGGTAGGGGTGGGAGTGGGAGGCGCAGGGGTGGTGGCCGTGGTGGTGGTGGTGGTCCGAGTGGTGGTCCGGAGTGTGGCTGTCGGGCGCAGGGTGGTGGTGGTACGGCGGGTGGTGGCCACGCGGCGAGTGGCAGCTGTGGGCCTTCGGGTGGTGGTGGCAGCCATCGTGGTGGTAGTGGTAGCCACCGTGGGGGTCGTGGAGGTGGTAGGCCTCGTGGTTGTGGCGGTGGTAGGCCTCGTGGTTGTGGCGGTGGTAGGCCTCATGGTTGTGGTGGGAGGATGGGTGGTCGTTCTGATGACCTCCAAGCCCACCAGGGGCTTCCCTCCAAGGCTCAGGATGGGCTTCTCCTGGGCACTGGCCAGGGGTTTGCCATGTCGTCCCTGCCCAAAGAGGGGCAGACCCTCGGGACTCACCACAGGAGTTCCTCCCAGATCTGAAATGAAATCAACCGGATGGAGTCATCCAGAGGAAATCAGAAGTAAGTAGAAAGGGTCTTCTATGCATTTCTGTATTATATTTTAATCAGGAAGAGGTAGTGGAATAATGAAAAGCGTAACAGCCTAGGAGGCAGTATCTGCCATCCAGACAGGTACAGCCCACTGTAGCCCCTCCTCTCTGCATTTCCTTATACAAGTGCACACTTCTGTCACTGTTACGTCCCATCATGCATTCTGAGAAAACTCAGTATCTACCAAGGGAAGTCACTCCTACCTCCTCCTAAGGAGGAACAGGTTAGTTTGAAGCAGGGATAGCAAACTCTTTCTGTATGGAGCCAGAAAGCAAATATTTTCATGTTTAAAGGCCAGATGGTCGCTGTTGCAACCATTCAACTCAGCCCTTCTACAATACATAGCAAACATGTTAGATGACACAGATACAAATGCTTTGGATACTGAGGACTTTGGATACTGAAATATTAATTTTGTATAATTATCACATGCTCCAAAATCATCAATAGTATCTTGGTTTTTTTTTTTTGCAATCATTTGAAATCATATTCACTATTCTGACCTCGTGGGTCTTACAGAAATAGGCTGTGGATAGTGGGTTATAGACTTCAGCCTTCTGCTTTCAGTGGCTAATTTCACATACTATACTATACTCTTACATTTCTAGGGGTGGAGTCCACAGGAAGCAGTTAATTAAAACTGTACAAGGGACATGCTGAGCCCTGCCTCTTCGGGGGGAACTTCTTCCCACATGGCTGAAAGTAACTGGTCAAGGCAACCATTAAAAATGAGGGGAGAAGACAGGAGTTATTCTATGACTAATTCAGTACATTTTTGTTTCTTTAGCAATATGTTTATGGGTAGGCATGGCCAGGCCCTGAATTCAATCTCCAGAAATACAAATAATATAAATAATTACTTTAAATAACATAAAAAGGAAACCATCCTCACTCACCTACGATAGTGCGGCCATCTCCTCCCAGTCTGACCCGAAGGGGATTGCCGTGTGAATCTTGGAGGTATCTACCTTCTGCATTCAATACCAGCCCACGATCGAGATCCACCACCTACACCCACACACAGATTGAAGAACACATTCAACACTTGAAAATGTTCACATTAATCCAACTTCCTGTGCATATGCGCAGAGCTTCCACAGAAAAAAGCCATTATTTGAATGGGAAAAATGCTTCTTACCGTTCCCAAGACTTACAAAGCTATCCTGTTTATCGATGTTATTTTCTCAAAAATACAACACACAAGAGTGTTTCAAATATTTTTACCACATAGTACACTGCATCTAATGCCACGTAGGAAATATCTTAAGGATCCATCAACTGAGGGAAGAGATTACAGTCCTCAAGAAGCCAATTAAAAGGGATATTGGACTTCTCTATCTATTCACCTACACAAACAAAACTGGTTTGGACTGCCATTCTCCTCTCTACCCCCACATCACCAGATCTCAACCTCCTGAGCAGCTAGAATTACAGGCGTGAGCTATCAGCACCCAGCTAGTGTCTATGATTTCTCTTTTCCAACAGCACATGAGCAACCAAAATGTGTAAAGAAGTTTACCCTACCCACTTGGTTCCATGAGGGCCGTTGATAATTCTTTGTCCATTCTGTTTCCCATTACTGCCAGAAGACACATTTTCTTCCATATTTGGTCTGCCATTATAACCTGCATAGTGTAATAACAAAAAAATAACAGTGCCCCGCAAATTCTGTATTTCTGAGCCACTGGCTTCATCCCTAACTCTAAGTTATAACACGTCATTTCAAACAAACACGAGAGACAATTTTAACTCACTGCTCCTATGTGGCAGATGACAACAGTCCTACAGGTGACCTCACAGGGCAAGAATGGCTACAAAAGGACAGCGCAAATCCATTTTCTGACCAGATTAGAAGAATAAGCACGTGCCACACAAGGAAAATTTCTTCATAGAGCTTAAGGCCGAAGTGGTTACCAATGAATTTTAGCCAACTGGAGGGCACAGGATGATTAGGACAGAGCATATTGATCTCTAAAGGGTCCTCAGGCTATCCACCCAACAGGACAACTACGTCGAGCTCTTTGAGCCCTATCCTCCGTTGCCCATGGCGCAGGTGCAGGTGCGGGGCTGTCTGGAAGCGGGCTGGACTCTAGACCGCTTGAGGGAGGAGGATTGCGTCTGTTGGGCCTGGGGCCCCACACTGAGCACCAGACCTGGGGTACCAGGGCAGTGGACCAGAGTCCCATTTGGTCTTCAGGGGAAAGTGAGGATAGCGGACAGATCCTGGCCACTGCGGGGCTGAGCTCTGGGGAATCTCAGACCCAAGACAGCCCGGGCGGGAAAAGTCCATTCGCTCCGACTGACCAGCAAAAAGCCAGAAATGGAGCTGTGGCTCAAGCCGAAGGAGGTCAACCTCGAGCAAGAGAGCCAAGGGGCAGCAGCGCCCCTTGAAGCCTCAGCTATGGGGCATCCACAGAACTAACTAAATTCGAACCCGGACCCAAAAGCAAGGGCGAGCTGTCACCTTGCGCGTGGGTGAGCCTGGCGGGCGCGCGTGCCACCGGCGTCCGGAACCGGCGCTGCATCCGCTGGCGCAGCGACAGCATGGGCGTGGTGGACGAGAAGCTGGCTGGGGCGCGCGTGGTGTGCTGCGGCCAGGATCGCGGGCCTGGCGGGGGGCCGGGGGTGGCAGGGGCGCGGGCCGGGGGTGAGGCCCTCGGGGGGCTGCCTGCAGGAGGGGGTCGCTCTCCCCGAGGGCCATCCTCCTCTTGGTGCGCGGGACCCGCCTCGCCATCCCCGGGCGCGCGCGGGGCGCTCGCCCTTCCTCCCTTCCTCGGCCCGTCGCGGCCCTCGTCCTCAGCGGTGGAGACCGAATGCGGGGATATGGACAGCGCGGGGCGCTGCCCAGGGACAAGGGCGCCCGGGCGGGGCTTGGGCCGGGCCCCAAGGGCGTCCATGGAGCCCACATCTGTGGCCTCCTCTTCCGTGCTGCTGTCCTCGGAGCTGCTCCCGGAGGAGTCCCGGCCCAGGCCCAGGCCCCGGCCCCGGCCCCGGGGAGCGGGGCGCCTGGCGTGGGCCAGCGAGAGCTCGGGCTGGGACAGTGACCGGCCTGCGTCCTCGTGCGTGGACCGAGGGGCGTGGACCGAGGGGCGCGGGCGTAGGGGCGCCGACGGAGGTGGCAGGTGGGGCGGCCTTTCGGGGAGCCGGCCGGGGGCCAGCCTCCTGGGCACAGGGGG